CCACTGCAATGCTTTTCGCAATAACCATGGTTTATATTATCAGCTTTCTACCATACTTGGTCATAACCTTTATGCGAACCGCTTATGGGGATACCTGGTATCCGAGTCTATCTTTATCTTCGCAGGTCGCGGTTAACCTGTTTCTAAGATCGTATCTGATAAGTAATACCGGAAATGCTATAGTTTACGGATTCTGCAATCTAACATTTCGACGCGAGTGTGCAAAAATATTCACAATACTTTTCTGTTGCAAGAAGAATTAATCAGACATTGAAATCTTAAAATTTAATAAAATGGCCTTAAGTGGAACTTCGTGTAATTACTTTTAAATTGAAAATCAATATGACCACGGAATCTTTGCTGTTTAAAGCCCAATTCAATCAAGCGGTGAAATAGCATGGCGGCCCATTGCACAGCGAATAGAGAGATTTACTGAGAAGATGTTAGGAGTTTGTAATTATTACATAATTATTACTATATCTATTGCTTAATATGATGTCAAACTCTACTATAGAATTATAGGAATCATTCTAGCACTTAGAATAGTAATTAAACATGATATATTATTAGCAAAATTACCGTACCTGTTTTCTATACGCTCCATGGAATTGGCAAAGTTCAATGTTGATGTTTCAACTTGAACATGATATATTTGCAAAATTCTCAATTAACAATAGTGAATTATAGGATTAATAAGATTAATCTTTTACAGAGTAGGACTGTGTATAGATTCCATGTGCTTATAGGATTTATTTTAACAATTTTTAAACATATGACTTAATAAAGAATGCAACTATGGCTTTAAAGCCACAGAAAAGCGGACTAAATTAATAAATTGTCGATGTTATATCTACTTTTATAATTTTTCAGTGTTGTATTTGGCTATGATAGCAGATCTACAACTCGGCATTTTATGATTGCTCTTATATTCTAAATATTAAATAGCTTTGCTCTGTTTAGGATAAATGGAAACAAAGTTTGATAGGGTTTTTCAAAAACTTTGATTTTTTCTAATCCTAACGAGATATTATTGTCTTTAAGACAGCTGAGTCGAAAAACCCAGACGGGATAAGGCTTTCTAGAGAAAATAATTTGAAAGGCAGATTACTAGATGTTCGAATTTAATTCCAGAAGAACAGCAATTGTTTGCTGTAGTCCACCATTTTGTGTATTTATGTACATTGCAACGGTTTACTGTGTATATTTTTTACATACCATTTTGATGTATTTTTGTAGAAAAGTCTTTATTTACCCATCTTGCTTTATTGCTTTATTAAAAATGTTTTTTTCTTATTATAATTGACTTGCTGTATTTTATCTTAACAGGAGATGAATCTCTAACTCAATATTGTCCATAATATTCAAAATTAAAAACTCGAATTGTAGTTCAATTTTAGTTCATTTCAATCGATATTGTTGTGAAAATATGGGATCCCAATATCCAATATTTAAGAAAAAATTAATATTTTCAAATCAGTACACGAGTCGTGTACCTCACGGATATAATGGTTTCGAGCGCCATTTGTAATGGACAATGGATATCATATCCCAGAAGACAATGTGGAAGTAATTAGAATGTACTAATCAGGCGCAGACGAATATATTTCAATTTTGACTACAATAATAAAATTGAAAAAAAAATGGTGTAACTGAGAATAGAGCCACTTCGCCTTTAACATAATAGTTTTATAATTCTATGAGTTCGTTCATAAACATGATGGGGGGGGGGGGGGTGGTTGGGTGACCGAATGGTTAACGCGTATGCGTTACATCATAAGGTCTGACACTGAGTCAAGTGGCGTTGTTTCGATTCCCAGCTTATACGTGATAACCCACATGATGGTGAGTTACATGTAGGATATAACATCTAGTATCATGTTCTAGCATACATAAACTTCAGTCAGTTATATTGAAGGACAACTCGTGCTTGTTACACATCTCCCGTAGCAATGATCTCTGTGTTAAAATTATATTTGGAATGTATTTAACCAGTTCTATCACATATGTATTAATGACTGACACCAATATTGTCCTTTAACCAGATTGAACATCTTTGGGATGAAATTCAGAGGAGACTTAATAACGTCGTTACGAGATCAAACACAGTCGATGGTTTGCGCCAGGCTTTTCTGAGAGTGTGGTTCCAGGTGCCAATGGCGTTCATCGATCGTCTGGTACACTCCATTTACAGATGCTGCGCTGCGGTTATTGACACTCGCGGTGGACACACCAGATACTGATGTATAGACTGTGTACAGACTCTAAACCTTCTCGTAATTTCTTGGAATTGTGATGAATTAATCACTGATGTGTCGAGATACTGTTCACAAAAAAATGCGTTTTCTAGAATGATTTGATTAAAAAGCCTCTCTGATTTTGAAATCGTACTGACGTTTTGGGTTTTTTTTTGCTGTTTACATTCAACGATAATAACAGATAATGATTGTTATCCATAGAACTGTGTTCTGTTATATTATGTTCAAAACATACCAAGTAGGGGATATTCAGAAACAATACAAAACTGCGGAAATGCACTGCTGTTTTTATTAGAGGTAACCAGTGTATGTTAATAACAGGCCAATTGCCTACACATGAACATTAACAGTTCATATGGGCGGCATATCTGACGGCCCCATTTCACTCGCAAAGAGATACACCGTCAAAAGTAAAAATGGACGTTTTTGATTTTTGTCTTAATAATGAGTAATTGCTCCACCAATCCTCAGACATTCAGCAATTCGTCGTGGCATGCTCCTAATCAACCGTCCAATCACGATTTTGGCCAATCTGACCCAGTCCTTTTGCAGTGCCACGGCCAATTTTTGAAGTGTTGTCGGTTGACGTTGACGAACACGTCTCCCGGTCAAATTAAACGTAACACACTAAAGCAAAGATACGCTAAACAGTAAATCTTATGGATAGATAAACCAGCACGCGGCGGTTTTCATCAACCCTTCCTTGAAGTGTCAAATTTGACAATGAACCCCTTCCACGTGTATGGCGCTAATGCGTGTCGCATGTGCAGCTCAGTGGTTATGTTGGGGCGATAAATTCTTCATCTGTGAACCTCAAAGCATGTCAAATGTCCATGGCTATTTATCATATCTCAACCTGTATAGGTATTTGCATTTCAATATCCCCTACTTTTTTTTGAAGAGTATATATAATAATACGTGGGCATCTTAGTAGTTTGGCGTGTGTGTTGGTTGGGTAGGGGGATGCTTAACGCAAGCGCGTTGCATCAAGATTTTTATCATTAAATCAAGTGGCGTGGTTTCGATTCACGGCTTGTACATGACAAGGAGACAAGAATATTAGGGTCGCCTGTCCAACCTCGTGGGTTTTCTCCGGGTCTTCCGGTTTCCTCCCGCTGCTAAAGACCCCTACGGGCAATTCTTTGTTGAAAAAAAATTGATAGAATTGGGACAGGTTAAAGGCAGATCTTCAACCCATACACACACTCATGCTGTTCATGTTTGATAGTTCATAGAAAGATAATAGATAATGCAAAATAAATATATTGAAAATTTCATTCAAATTACTTTATTCTGAGCGAAGTTATGACTGTTTGTAGTTTTGACATTGCATTGGTTGTTTATGTGACGTCATAGGTGGATGCAAACTGCTTTATCCGACTCAGAGATATAGAGTTCCCATATGTTGATAATACATTTATAGGGTCTAACATTGATAGTTTTTGAGATATTGACTGCTTTTCCCTGATTAGTCAAGCTTGACCTTTGAACCCGCCCGAAAAAAATTTTCCCAGCGATCATGATGGGTCATTTTTTTCTGGAATAATTACGGACCCCACCTTTCATTTGAGACCAAGTTTGCTTTGATGGGACGTTTTTTCCAGGAAATAATCTAAATCCGGCAGACTATTATGGTGGGGAGGGTTAAAGGTGAAAAACCGTTAAGTCTGAGAAAAAAATTCGAGTTAGTATGTGACTTTGTTTTTGGAAGTCGGACCCCGTAAATTTCGAGGCTGCCAGCATTATTCTGGCGCGAACCAATCTCGGCTCCAGTTACAATCTATCTGGAATAAAATTCAGGATGGCCATAGATTTAGATTTCGGTTGGACCAATTTGCTTTGATGTACTCAAAGGCCAGAACAGCGGTGCGCTTGCCGTTGTCATTGCGTTTGCGGGAGGCCGGCTTCTACACGGATAATTTTGGTTACATGCACGCCTGCCTATACGATTACCATAACGGGGAATTTGGTTTATAAGCTAAGTACAATTATTGCCCGGGTATATCGTGTAAATCGGAAGTCGTTTTGCGAACTGGCGAATAATACCTAGAAATCAAAGAGACGTTCTTAACACGTTCAGAATATCTGAAGCCTCGGTACAGTGTTGTTTCATATCAAATCGTAACATTTAATGCATTTATAAATCCGCATATAAATTGATTTTTCCTGCACGTAGATAATTTTAGACTTTACTTAAAAGCTCGACGCGTCATTTGCATTTTCGGAAAAATATCAAATTTCTCACGGCTTAATACCGGCTAAATGTGTACTCCGACTAATTATTTAACATTTAATTAAGAAATAATCAACATGCGCGCTGTATCATCAGGTCTGTCATTGAGTCAACTGACGTGGTTTCGATTTCCCGGTTGTACGTGACAAGGAGTAGGATCGCCTGTCCAACCTCGGGGGTTTTCTCCGGGTCCTCCGGTTTCCTCTCACTGCTAAAGACTCCTACGCGCAAGCCAATTATTGAAATAGAATTGAACCATGTGTTAGTCCCGAAATGACCTAGTTTGTGTCGAGTGGGCGTTTAAACCCATTTCTCTCTCTTTCGGATTCAATCGGATTTGATTAAGTCAATCAGGTTTCTCTATTACCTATAAAAGATAGTGACGTCTTGTTAGCTCGATAGGGACTCTTAAGGCGTTAAAAGATGCCTCGAGCCCTTAAAATGTAAAATGTTTTGGCAACAAATATAATTTTAACAATTATATGAATTTTATAGATCTGAAGAATGCTGACATGGCCAAAAAGATGATAATACCAATTGTTTATGTGGTCATTATGATGGTGCTTGGAATAATAGGTAAAATCCCGGCTTCCATTGCGTTTTCAAAGTTAATGGGATTATTTAGTTATTCATAAGGAGTTGCGTGTCAAGTGTCAATTCTACATGGCGTCATTGTCCGTGTCCCTTAAACTTTGAAAACGCATTAAGAGTTTGAAGGACTTAGTTTTCATACATTCTGACCGCTCTGCCGGGCTTTTATAATCCAACTATTGTCATTTTCATCGAAATCATGTTTTTTGGATTTTTCAAATAAAGATTTATGATACGCCTTAACCGGAGGTCGCCTATATTTTGAGGCCCTAGGCTTCCGTCTGACAAGTCTATAGGTAAATCCGGCATTGTCGGTGAAATTTATACGATATTGGAGATTTATTTTCGTTATTTCAAATTTTCAGGCAATGCACTGGTATTATACATCTATGGCTTCAAATGGAGGAGGACTCCCGAAAAATGTTTTATAACTACACTTGCTCTATTTGACTTGGTCAACTGTGTCATTACCATGCCAACAGAAATCGCTACCTTGGTTAGTTTCTACCGTTTCACCTCCCACAGCTTCTGCAAGTTCTCTCGATTTTTCACATTTTGGATGAACAATAGCAGTGTGGTGCTTCTTTTCGCCATAGCAGTGGATAGATTCATCAAGATTTGTCTACCAAACAAAATGTCCTTCAACTACCACAAGGCCAAGATTACGTGCGTGTGTTCGACTGTAATTGGATTGGTGGAATCATGGCCGAGTCTTGTAATTTAACGTAGCAGATGGAATGAAAAATAGTTCGTACACATTAGGTTTCTACATTTATCTTTGGGTTGCCTATATGGTCTGATTGGTATTAGAATCTGGCTGCAGAAATCTAAGGGTGATAAGCGAAAGGACTCTCTGAAAGCGTCCCTGCGGAGTTCAAAATCAGGTTCTCAGAGTCATGAAAAAGAAGTATCCTTGCTATCTATTAAGCCTAAAGTAGAAATGGAAAACACTCAATCCGTTGAGTTGAGTGACGACGCATTTGATTCTGGATCATCTGAAGAACCCAAACGAGACGGAGTTGTTATCAAACCCCCGGTGAATCCAGAGCCCAAAACATCGGCAAGGTCGAGGCTCAAGTCAATGACCAGCGTCCATATTAGTAAGTCCGGACTCCAAGCCGGAAAGGCCACTGCAATGCTTTTCGCAATAACCATGGTTTATATTATCAGCTTTCTACCATACTTGGTCATAACCATTATGCGAACCGCTTATGGGGATACCTGGTATCCGAGTCTATCTTTATCTTCGCAGGTCGCGGTTAACCTGTTTCTAACATCGTATCTGATAAGTAATACCGGAAATGCTATAGTTTACGGATTCTGCAATCTTACTTTTCAACGCGAGTGTGCAAAAATATTCACAAGACTATTCTGTTGCAAGAAGAATTAATCAGACATTGAAATCTTAAAATTTAATAAAATGGCCTTAAGTGGAACTTCGTGTAATTACTTTTAAATTGAAAATCAATATGACCACGGAATCTTTGCTGTTTAAAGCCCAATTAAATCAAGCGGTGAAAAAGCATGGTGACGACGCATTTGATTCTGGATCATCTGAAGAACCCAAACGAGACGGAGTTGTTATCAAACCCCCGGTGAAACCAGAACCCCAAAAATCGGTAAGGTCGATGCTCATGTCAATGACCAGCGTCCGTATTAGTAAGTCCGGACTCCAAGCCGGAAAAGCCACTGCAATGATTTTCACAATAACCATGGTCTATATTCTCAGCTTTCTACCACATTTGGTAATAGCCATTACGCGAACCGTCCATGGGGATACCTGGTATCCGAGTCTATCGTTATCTTCGAAAGTCGCGGTTAACTTGTTTCTGAGATCGTATCTGATAAGTAATACTGGAAATGCTATAGTTTACGGATTCGGCAATCTTACTTTTAGACGCGAGTGTGCAAAGAATTCAAAGGGTTATTTTGTTCCAAAAAGTAAACACGGACTGAAAAATCAAAAGAGGGGGAGCTGTGATGTAATTATTTTCAAACTGAATTTTAATATGGCCACTGAAATTAAAAATGGCCACCGAGTCCTTGCCATATTTAATTTCAGTGCCACTGTGCCACCGCAATCTGATTAAAACACATATCCTATTTCGTTTCGTTTTGTATAGTTCAAAATTTCGTTTTACTTGTCTTTACTACACTAGAATTTGGAAGAGTTATTATCATTGACGTGTTGTGGATGATGTGAGGGATTAGCCAATGAAACGTTCTGTTACGACGAGCTTTTGGCATGTGGGTGCACGGAACTGTGGGTAATCCACTAGAAACATCAATGCTGATTGGTCTGACGCGATAGGGTCAAAAGCCGCTGGTATGACCTCAGATGCGACCTCCCAAAACAACTGGTCAGATTTCCATGTAGTGTAGACGATCGAAAGTATAAAAAAACGAAACGAAATATCGATCTGTATTTTAATCAGATTGGTGCCACCGAGGTTCCCAGGCCAAATTATTGATGCCTGTAGTAATGATAGCAAGATCAGTTTTAAAGGGATACGGGGGCCATGGTAAGGCGCTGGCTCACTACTTATTAAGTCCGGGATTCGATCCAGGTTCCCCGGGATTTTCCAGTGTGGTTTCACTGTCAGTGGGTCAGGACGGGAAGAGGCTGGGGCTGGCAAGAGACAGCGTCTAGTCGTTCAGATTAGACGAAGAATCTAGGTCACGTGTACACGATGGCGTGCACACGAAAGAACAATCGACAGTTGGTAAACCGTAAAACCCATTCCATTCATTCATTTAAAAGGGCTATTCATTTAAGGAATTTCATAATTCATGCGTGTCTTGATAATCTCGGTGATCAGCTACCATAATTTTCGGCAAGTATATAGAGATCATTATCCAGACATTTACAGGGGGTTGAATTTTGTGGACTTATGGTCAATCCCTATAATATCCAAATTTATATAAGGCAATAAATACTCGTATTAATATTAGAAGTTCCAGTTACGCTTGCAAAGTTATACATTTTGGTCCTATTTCATCCATAATGTTGTATGAACAGAGGAGCTTTTGAAAATGCAGATATACTTTGATTCCTTTGTATATAGAGCGGTAGTGAATTCCACAAATGAACTGAAGATTACTGGAAGGTACGTTTGGTCATTTCCAAGCTAATAAGTGGTACTATTAAGAGTTTATTTTAGAAGATGGTATATAGACGTACATACCGTGCTGGTATGTATGTATAGATAAGATTCTTGATGTAGGCAGAGTTTTTATCTTTTAATATATTCATTTTTCATTATCTATTTTTGAACTATTATACGAAGAACGGACAGCTCTTTATCTAATTCTTACATAATGCATATTGAATATCACAGAAAGGCAGATCGACCAATATTATTTACTTTTAGAAATCGTCTCGTATTGTATCTGATTTGATAACAGGCCCACAAGTGCTTTTATATTCCCAATATTAGAAAGGTTTACATACATTGGGGAAATGAAAATCAAAATTTTTTAATAGTGCAAACAGATTTAAATTAAAGTTTACTAGATACGAATCCGTCAGTTCGTATTTAATCTGAAAGGAACAGCAATTGTTTATCGTGGAAAATTTGATCGGCCACAGGCTTGTATTGGGTGTTTGTTGTTAAAAGTTCACCTTTTTGTACATTGCAAAGATTAATTGTGTATATTTATTTACAAGCCATTTTGATATATTTTTGTAGCAAAAGCTTTATCTATATATCTGGCTATATTTCCATATTAAAGATGTGTATTGCTGTTTTAATTTATAATTGAATTATAGTCCAGGCAAGATAATATTAGTGCTTGAAATTGCTGCTATAGAAATGCCGACTACGGTTTACTGTCGGTCGGTCTAGACGTTTAATATCACAAAAAGAAATAATTTTGTGAAATAAATTTACCGCGTGCTTCCATAGATTTGGTAAGCTTGGGTCAATTTTGGAGGTTGGTGACCAAAATAAGACACGCCCACTACGCATCGTTCGCAGTGAGCTGGGTGTGGCCCCTTTCGACATGCCTGCTACGCTGCTTCCGCAGTCAGCTGTGAGTGAGATAAGTGGTAGACTGGAGAGTCCAAATGAAATTTAGTGGATACTTGATGGAGGATACTTGATCGGAGGCAGGAGCCACGGTGGCTGGGTGGTTAAGACGCTGGCTCGCTAGCCTGGAGGTCGGGTGTTCGATCCCTGCATTGGCCGAGAAAGTTCATCCAGATTTTCCGACGTGGTTTCCCCTTGTCAGTGGTGCAGAACGGAGGGCCTGACAAGGACAGCTGTCTAGTCCTTCGGATGAGACGAAAAACCGATGTCCCGTGTATATATTGGAATCCACGTAAAAGATCCCCCGGCAGTTGGGATTCGATATAAGAGTAGGCGATAGTGCCCAGTATAGGAGCAGAACAATAGGACGTTAAACCCCATTTCATTTCATTTTCATTTTGATCGGAGGCAGACTCGAATATCATTAATCCATCAATCTCAAATGGGATTTCCTCATATATTGACCCAACCGAACCATTAAATCACCAAAATAGGAAAATACGTACGAAAATTGAATCAGCAAACTCAAAAACGCATATTTGGACACCGAATATGATCATTTAGTAAAATTCGAATTTTCCAGCCAAAACTGGCCGCTATCTTTAATTCGCCAATATTGACGAATCACCAAAATTTGTATGGAAATGGGATCAGCTATACCGAAAAGGTATTGTGATACCAAACCTATGATAACTGGGTATACATTGGGATTTTCCAGTGAAAACACTGATATCGTACTGGGATTTTTTTGGGTGATAATACACGTCTCGACCGAACATTAAACCCGGGATAATGCGGAACTGAGTTAAAATGCCTGGACTCCATGTTCTAACTTAAAATTATCCAAAGGGGCAACTTATCTGTAGATTTTGGCTCCAAAAACACAAACAAGATTCGTTTGAATCGATCCGCCATTATGAAACTCACGCCTGCGCTCAGTCTATATTCCAAATTTAGAAATGGAATGTTATTGTGAACGAAAATTCTTGCTGTACTTCAATTATGTATTAATCGATTTTATGTAATAATTGTTTATGTATCTTCAAAATACTGGCAGTTTTGTCCATTTATTGAAGTACAGCAAGAATTTTCGTCGATGTTAACATTCAAATCCTAAATTTGTGATATTGGCTGAGCGCAGCTATCAACCCGTGACCTCCGGACTGCGCAGGCGTGAGTTTCATAATGCCGGATCTATTGAAACGAATCTTGTTTGTGTTTTCGAAACGCTAAATTCTACATGAAAATAGTGTTGGATTATTATAAATTTGTGTCGGATGTGGCAAGAAATGATTCATTTTGGCGAACAAGGAAGAATCACGGTATGGATTCCAAAATAGCCTTAGAACCGAGACGGGGGGAGGAGGGAGCTCTATTTTCATATAGTTATGTATAGGATCAGCCAGTAACGTCACTAAAATAAACTGTTAACTCTCTTATCCTTCCGCTTCAAAATCATGAATAGTCACCAGAACCTGACAGAAAATGTATATTCAAGCCCTTTCTCCGATTCTACACCAATACATCCACATAAATCGCCATGCAAAAGGGGGGGGGGGGGGAGAAAGACTATAAATAACGGTTGCACTACATTCGTAACCAGCAAATGAATTAATGTTGTCTTGTGTCTAGTTCGTAAGGTGAGCCCATACGTGGAGATTGCTATGATTGTATCCCTACACAATATTTATATGCATACAGTGACCATAACAATTGAGTATCCGCAGCCGACCTATATGGTTTACCATACTTAAACCGATGTCCTTTGAAAGCTGGCACTTTTCGTTTACAACAACAATAATTTTTAACTTTGATATCTAGACTTTTTATTAACAATAAATAACCTTTATTAAAAATCAGGTCGGGCAGGCAAATTATATATGTACATTACTTCAGAGATAGAGAGGAAAACAAATAGGAGAAGAAACAGTTAAATAATATAAGTAACTCGCTGGAATGGAATCAAGCCCGCCAGTATTTCTCAGTTTCTATAACCAAAAATTTCAAGACATATTTTATCAAATCAAAAAGGTAGATTAAACCAAAAGTATATAATTTATTGTCGACGTTGTCTTCGAATAAAATATAACAAACTGATTCAAATATAAGTATTTCATGTAACCATTTCTTAAACTTCGAATAACGATTAAAAGTTATCTTTATAAGAAATGCCCAATGGACAAGAACATATACATGCTGTAATTTTTCAAATAAGGTATGAGTTGTCATAGCAGTCGTTTCATATACACAAAATCCAGTAAGGTCAAATCTTTATTAATCTAATTTTCTTTTTCTTTAAAATTAAAATCGTGAGTTTATCATTTTATTCATTAAAATACTAAAATCATGGGTTGGATAAAAAATTGTTGTTTTTAAAAAAAATAAAAAAAATATGAAATTAGTGATTAAAATAAGGTGAAGTTAAAAACTACATCAAATAAAAGAAAATAAATTTTTAAATTTATTTAAATATTGTTTAAATAATATTTTTTTATTAAATTGTTATATTTAAAAGCGATATTTAAAATTTATATTTCGTCATGTGTTATAGTCATTTTGAGAATAACAAGTTTTGATAAAAAAAAAAAAAGTAAAGAGAAGCTTCTAAGATTGAAAGAAAGATTAAGAGGATAGAGAAAAGAACGACAGAAGAAAGGAATTGGAAAGATAAAAGTCTAATTACACTATTTACAATAGAGGATGCATTTCAATATCGTGCGATCGTGCAATCCCTCGTGAACTGAAACATTCACATTGTTGTAAAGAAAATTCACACACACACACAAAAAAAAAATGACGTCACTTGAGACGAAATGTTCGAACACTGAGGATGAAAATATGGTTTGCATTAAAGTACTAAGTTTTAACTTTCTGTTCTTCAAACATTGAATTATCCTTCATAGTGTCCACTGTGTCCCTCCATAATTTCTAAACAAAACAAATCGCGCAAAAACTGATTTCACTCGAGGCGAAATTTTCGAACATTGGCATTTAAGCTTGTATGAACATATTGTTTGCATTAAAATACTCAGTATTACCTTTCTGTTTTCCCAAGATTAAATTACCGTACAAGATGTCCTATGATGTCCAATGTGGCCCTCCATAAGTTCTGTGTGCACGATGAGTCGTTAACCTTTCACACGGAATCGAAACAATTTGTCGTTCAACCGTGGGTACATACATTGTATGTATTTATATATTCCATGTACAACAATTATAATATTTCCATCAAAATATATACAAAATATACACAATTCACATATGTCAAAGCGTTAGGCTTCACTCTCCCCCGTGTTTATTCTCACGGCCATTTTAGCACTATTATTATTGGTCGTATTCTGACGAGTTATGGATTTAGTTTTGCAAAAAACACCAATAATTAGTTTATAGCATTCCTGCTTGAACTGTCCGTTTGAAAATCCATAAATATACGGATTAACAGCACTGCTAATTATGTAAGTTTTGAGACCGAGTTCAAAAAAGACTGCTTCGGTATTTGTTAAATTCGATTCAAAGCTTTCGATAATCGTTCGACAGATCGAAATGAGTATGTAAGGGAGGCAACTCACAATAAATGTCAACGTCATAAAGAACATAATGCACGTGGTACGTTTTCGGCTGTAGACGCGGCGTCGTTTTAAAGTCGACGGAGAACGCGTTAATGTTGCAAATTTTCCTTTCTGGATATTCATGGCTACTTGTTCAACAATTTTTGCGTGTGACGTGTAATCACCGGAACTGACGGATTTTGTGTCGCAGATGACACTCTCTGGGATAGAAGGCGATCGGTTTCGAACATTCGTCAGTACTTTTCGACGTTTCCATATTTTCGCAGCTATTAACGAATACAGAATGCACAAAGCCAGTGACGTAGAAAAATATAACAAAAACAGGAAAATGTAATATGCGGACGGATAAAATGTTTCCAAGAGCTGATCATCCATGGAACATTCCACGCCCACTTCATCGATTCCCAAATCGATTTTTTGTTTTCCGAAAAGAACAGCAGCGGGGCATGAACAGATTATGCCACATATAAGAACGGCAATGCACGCCCTGTTTGCTTGCGAAACATGAATATGTTTGTTCAGGGGTTTACAGATACGATTGTAACGTTCAATCGCGATGGCAACGAGAATAAGACCGGAAGTGATGGTGGTCACTGATCTGAGTGTCCTAAGAATTTTGCACAAAACAGGAAAATCGAACATATACGGCAAACGAAGTTCTAGGATCTCCAATGGTATGCAGACGACACAACTCACGAGGTCCACGGAAGCTAATGCCAGAACAAAAGTATTGGTCACATTTTTACGCAGTCGTAATCCACAAATAAAGCACACCAATGAACTACCGATTACTCCAACTACCATACACAAAGCACAGACAACAACAACTGGAATCAGAAGAACTGCTTTTATATCACTGTGTATCTGTAATTCTGACGGAACTGAATTCAAGAACGTTCCAACTGCCACTGTTGTGTTATCCATTTTAAAAATCGAAAAAAGAACGCATTACTGAAATGAGACAGAAAAACATGACCTCTAGTAATTTCATTTGCAAATATATTATACCCTTTTTTGTTTCTGGCATTTATAGGATAACCGTCGGGTAGAGTGGTGACGTTAATCTTTAAATCTATGAAAACTATATTCGATTTCGAAGTCATGGATTCCAAGATTTGAAAGACTCACCACCACCGTTAAGCCAATATCCTTAATCAGTGTAAAAAAAAAATGTTATTTGCAATCAACAAAAGGTTCAAATCAAAGGAACAAACAAAAAAAACAACATATATACTGTATACCAACAACTTATTAAGCAAAGTTCACAACGAGCTGAACAGAATTATCATCGTCCTCTTAATAATGGAGCATATAACCGAACAGTTTAAAGTATATGTACTTAATGTCGCTTCTAATTAAAATAACAATAGGGAAGATATCAATCCGGATATGACAGGTTCCACTTTGGGCTCCAGAGCTGCAACAAATATTTAACCTCTGTTTTCGCGCCTTAAAGTAGATTTACGCGAATCAAATGCCTGGTGTGGTTGGTTGTCTACTCGCTCATTGTTCTATTAAAGATTCTCTTGCATCAGTACAATTATCAAAATTGAAATGAAGTGGGGTTTAACGATCTCATGTGCTGCTCCGAATAGGGTAGTGAATACGGGCATACGCCATACAGTGCGCTATGAGGGAAATTTTGCACGGACAGCGGCGCTATGGCCTATTACCATATCGAATTCCAACTGCCAAGGGATATTTTATGTGCACGTCAATGTGTACACGGGACAAATATCACAAGGGCCGCTAAACTAATTTTTTAGCACTTTGATCGCTTGATAGGAAGTTAACAATGTATTATTCATCAATGATGACATATAGGTATTATAAATTGTTCTCGTGTGTAGTATATATCATATACACCGGAAACATAAACTGAAAATCGTGATTTCTGTCAAATACACGCTATCATATACGTATTTTCGAAAAGTACACAAATTAACCCCGCTTGTTAAGTGCCCTTATAGTGATATCACAGATCGTTACTCATGTCTTTAAAGTATGCGGAAAATAAAATTTTAAATGAAATTCGATGCCCTACTGATACCATGGACGTTATAAACATTTACATTAATAAAAGTTACAAGCCTGGTCGTATGTCTAAAAATATAATTTTTTTTACACTATTGTAAGATAGAGAGTTTTATTTCTGTATCAAGTACATGTATTTCAAGTACATGTATTCAACTTCTTTACATTCGTTAACATATATTTTAAATGATATAGCTTTCAAATGGTAACCTTGTCGAACAGCTAATCAAGCAGTCGGTTGTAGTGTGTTTTACCGTCTTGTACGAATTCTGCCTGGACTGACAAACTGCTCTCTTTTATGATTATGTGTACATTATGTGGAGGAGAATTCCAGTTCCCCCTTTTTTATCGCAATACAAAGGGAGTAATCAGGACCCTATTCATCTATTACCTCCGAGGATCTGAACCAGAGAGAGAGAGAGAGAGAGAGAGAGAGAAATGGGGTTTAACGTCCACTCGACACAAACTTGGTCATTTCGGGACTAGATCTGAACCAGACCTGAAATATCCCGTAAATATTTTCTAGTTATTGACGAATAATTTTATTCCTAAAATGTTGTTAAAAAAGCCAACATATGCCGAATATTACGCAATACTGTTGGTTGGTTTCTCAGGCTTAACGTCCGCGCCCACCGAGAATGGTATTGCAGACTAGGTATATACGGTATTTATTATGCTTGTATATAGATCGCAAACCGTATTACATTAACTAGAGTAAATCTTCTCCATAAATAATTCAAATTAACCCAATGTTCTATATTAACTGCATATCTATTTATTCCTCGACTCTTATCTTCCGTTGGGCGATGACAATGACATCAGTTTTCCGCAATTATCTATTTATTTCCTGTTGACGCCTGATTTTTGTCGGCTTCCGCGTCTCCCGGGGAAACTAATCAACATTATTATCAAAAATCGGAAATAACAAAACTATTAAAATCTCTCAAATTTGAGAAACTGTTTTAAAGTGTCATTTAAAGTATTCAGTCAAGGTCGAGTGTTTTTCTGTCTTTATAAGAATTACATGTAGGATAAAAGACACACTATTCTAGGCATATATTTATTTCCTCTGTCAGGGTGATAACGCCTCTTTAGTATACATGTAGAGCATAAGGCCATAATCTAAAGCTCCCGACTGGCGTTAAAAAAAAATAATGGTCAAAAATTATTTAAATCGGCAATCCTAACGTAAATTATGGCCATTTAAAGTTCCCATTGATCTCATATCGCCATTTCCATACATCTGCAAGAGTTTGAATTGTAAACGCATTATACCGATTAAAAAATTATTAACATAAATCAATCCTGTAAGTCATGGCCATTCCAACTTTCGATTACTTTCTATTGGAATCGTAACTCCATCTTTCTTTGTCTAAGAATGTCAGTCCGCTGTTGCAGAATAACTCGTTTATCCAAGAACATCGAGGCCAATGTTGTTTTTATTTAATCATCAAGAAAACCAAAGAAATTTTGTTAGCCTTAGTTGTGTTAAATAAGTGATTCGCAACGTGGGGCGCACGCCCAACAAGGGGGCGATTTGCATAACATTTTTTTGAGGGTGGGGGGGGATTTGAAAATGTCAATAAGATAAACTTCACTTTTAATTTTTCATCTGATCACTATATAAAATTATTTTCTGATTCTTTATTATTTTATTTGCATAATCTTATTCTATTGGAAGGAATCGACATCTTATTTGAACGATTTAATTTTATTTTACAAAACTCAATTTGTTTTCACGTCAATGAGGGGGAGCGGGGGGAGGGGGCACAAAATAATTTGGGACATGGTACACAAAAGCTTGGGAACCACTGTGTTATTATGTTTAATAGCTATTAACCGTTTATCGCATTGCATGTTAATAAGAGAGATAAAATATTAGCTTCACCTTATTAAATCCAATTTTAAACTATCTTTTAATGAACTATGACGATTGTTTTGTATGCTGTATGATATACTAATATTTCTTCCACTGATAATTGCACTAAGGTTACTATATATAGCAATGTGCTAATTGTGGTGATTAAACGTTAAATTAAAACCGTTTATTATTCGGTCGAATATCAACCAAAATTATCATTCCAATCAGGCTAATCGATTTGCGGAAGAAGTCACGTGACAATGTTTCTGCCAGAAACAGATAATGGCAAAACAACAGAATTATGAGTAATAAGAAATGAAATTGGGTTTAAAGCCCTACTTGTTTACAGAGCGGGTTGGGGACGACGAACATATGCAATGGGGTGTTACACCATGCACAGTCAAACGAGAACACCCCACCCACCACCCCCACCCCAAAAAAAAAACAACATCAGGGTTAGAATTATTCAAATCAATATGTTATTTTAAGTTTACTTTGGTTTCCATTGATTGTACATCCCCATCTTTGTCTCTCTTTGACATATATAGTAATAATAATTCTGCAATATTTTCGTACAAGCCAGTCCATTCTTTTAGAAGGTATTTTTTATACTCAAATGTGCTTAATTACAAAATAACAGTCCTTACATTAAAATGGAATATTTATTTTTACTTTTGAAGTATATGGTACGATCTTTGTTGTGCCTATAACAATATTATGTGTTTTCAATGGAAAAGTCGTGACGAACAGGTCGGCTATTTCAGTCCCCTCAAAATTCCTCTTTAAATTCTCGTATTGGGTGCGTTGTTGGAATTATAATATAGACCAGGTGTTGTCGCAATTGCGTCACCTCTCTTTCCTTAAAGGGGATAACCCCCCCCCCCCCATGCGCCATATGGGCGATAATGAAATAAAACCCTCATTAACGGCTTGGTTCTTTTATACTTTCTGAGTCTCCAACATCAAAAACATATTGTAACAGTTTATCGGTCATAATCTGGGTTTATGACACATTTTGATGACCATTGATAATCCGGATTATTACCAGGAGAATCTAAAATACTCACCTTTCTTTAATTTGATTTTTCGATAGGTGTTAATGTCGTTCTTGATGGCATTTTTAGTAGTATCCTGAAAGAAACACTGTGAATGTTATGTCGGCAGGGCCATAAAAACGAGAATTCATCTCGTTTATGAAATTACCAACGTAAAACAGGCATATATGTATGTTTAAAAGTAAGCATGCCCTGTGAAAGACACTTGCCATTAGTAAATACATTGTTGCATTCAGCCTACATTTAAATCACTTTTTTCGTCAATGCTATGGAATTGGCCGTTCTATTCACTGCGTATATAATATACCTATTTGCTTTTGGGTGCATTTTTACGCTATATAAATATACAATATGAATTAGTTCAACTTACGTAAGGAAGCGTTATATTATTATAATGCGCAATTTGTATTTAGACTACAATTTACATCTATCTCTGTGTCTTGTGTGATGCCTACAAGTTGTTTTGTTCTATATCTGTGGTTTCCTGCTATTTAGTTATTTCATTCCTTCTGGCACATCTGAAATCACATATAGTTGCATGGAACTATTTCTTAACTGTTTAGTTCAAGTTTAATATAAGAAATATAACCATAATAATTATCAGGGTAGAGCTTACGGACTTGACAAGCCGATGTCTAGTCGTTGGGATTGTACGAAAAAAAAACGGTTTCACAATTGTACATATTAGAATACGTGCACAAACTCAATTTCTTTTTAAAAAAATAATGTTTTTAACGAATTCGGACATGTAAAACCTATACATCAGTAAACCAACATGTAGTTTATATGGGATGTGGTCATAACGGCTATAAACCATAATGGCCAAAATTCACTCGGATATCAACGGCCATACGAGCAGGTAGTATAGGGCCTACCATTATAAAACTTATTGCCTAAATATGAGAATCTGTCCACCATCCACACACTTTTGATGATTTGTGCAGTGAACAGGGTTTTATTATAGTTCAGGTTTAGCTAAAAAAAAAAAACTAGGTAAAAATGTGAAACATAAGATTGATGGATGGAGTATCCGACATTACACACAATTGTAAATTGTTTAATAATAACACAATTCACAGAAGTCAAGCATAGTTCGCATTGTAAATCATATATCGCTCACGTTTGAACTTCCATATATATACATCTAATGGGGATGTTTCGATATATCAATCAAAATTGGAGTTGACAGTTTTTACATTATTCTTGAGGAATTTTCATTGAATAATAAAAATCGATGTGTTTTAACAAAAGGAAAATATCATTAATTCAGTACAGTATACTCACCGGTTTGGTCGGGGACAATGATGTTATCCGACATTAACTGGACCTCGCGTTAATATGTGTGACCAATAATGGAGTCCGTCGAATAAGCGACCAGATTCAAATTCGTGGGTGAATTATATTTTTGGTCTTTGTCCTTAGTAGTCCTAGTCAACCAGATGCATATTTGTTAAACCATTGCAACTGGATAACAAAAAATCACTGACCACGGGTGATCACGGCTCGGTTGGTGATCTTACGTTCCGATTTACCAGCCGCCCCGAAACAATGGTTATTTATACTGGATGTTTGTGACTTACTCACAATTATTCTCCCAATCGAAGTAATTGTTAGATCATCCGTTGTATAAACAAAGAGGTCATCACCAGCGAGGCGTGACCACCTATAACCACTGCGAACTGTTTCAACTCTTAATCAACAAAAACAATAAACGATTGATCAGTCAAGCGAAACCATTGTTATATTAACGAAGGGGCCCTAAAAATCAAGGCTAATATTATTTATTTCAGAAGCTGAATGTTTATAACAGGGTTTATGCTATATGAAGAACCTTTGTTTGGCCTATCCGTCAATTTTCACACCATTTATTATCACAGCGACTTATTGTCTGCACCAGTTAATTTCATTTTTATTAAATAAACATACATATATGCCAACCGCAACTAATTCGGAAAAGAAAAGGAAGGATTAGGGATATTTTTCTATGTGCTCCATAGAGAGGCGTGGGGAGGGGGAGGGGATCCGATTGATAAGGGATCTGTTATGTACTTTAAGAATTTATACCTGGAACCTTGGATTTTTGTCGGATCCATGAGAAGCCATGCAGTTTCATTGTCATCTCCGCAATTATTGCCGTTCACAAGTAGGAATTGCAATCCTGCCAAATTGGCAAGTGAAGTCTGAATTTGTGCAGCTGGAAAATCCCGAGGAACTTTCACTGCCAACACCAGAATCGAACCTAGCTACAAGTCACTGCTTCAAACAGAAACTGACAAAAGCTATTTTGATCTACTCATTCTAATACTCACAGAAACATCTAAGTCGACACTATAAGTACCTCACGTAAAGTGGGATTGACAGTATATTTTGAAGAGGTAAGAAACGAGGAAAATAAACAGGACCGCCAAGATAATTATTGTCTGCCGGAACATGAAAATTTTGACTCATCTCACCCCCCACCTGTGCAAGAACCATGCAAAAAATAGGATTTCTAAATCTAACTTAACCCTTGCGTAGTCAGATAAGGGCATGGGGGGGGGGGGGGGCGAATACCGGCCACGCCTACATAAAAAAAATGAAATAAATTTATTCATGGTCGTCCCACTCCTGGAGCTTCATGAGACATGGAGCGATGTACCGACAACACCGCCTCTTGCATAGAAATATACTTGCCATAGTGTAAGAAGTCAAAATATTATTGCCGTTTTAATGATAGAACCGGTTCGTATGAATGGGGTAACACTAAAACAAGGTGTTGGCAAATTGATCGAGCTAAACATCCTCATTTTGTTTATTCAAAGATGACTGATCTATTCTAGCAATTACAATAAATTTGATGTATTCTAGCTTCAGATGTTTCTTGTTATTGCTTTATATATTTTCCTCATAACTAAACAAATTTAGAATTCATTTAACAAACAGTGGGCGTTAAAGAGAAGGAATGATCAGGGATGAGTAATTTATTATATTTTAGATACCTCCCTAAGCATTACGATCAAACCTATCTGGCAAGTTCTTTGCGAGAAATATTCAGAACAATATAATTATGTAACTTTATAGCGTCGTGTCTGATACTGATTGCCACATCCACATTCATTTGTATGTATCTGGGACCGGTATGGTGGAGTATCCACCTGGAGAAATGAAATGAAATGTAGCGACTTACTCACCGAGATGCAGTGGATCCTGTATCCACAAGGGATAACAGATTATCGCATTTATGATTTTAGATAAATAGCAATAGCGTGTTCATGGGATTACCTATATAATGTTATAATTATAATAATGAGTCATGAAGTTGCGCGCCTGGTTACTATGGCTATTCACATCACTATGACATTGGAGGTAGCTGTACTTTATCTATATCTTTATCTATATCTTTATCTATATCTTAATTATGAAGTTGATTATCATTAAATCTATTTGATCTTATATTATCATAGTGAAATAAAAAATAATAAATAATATCTTTATCTATATCTTAATTATGAAGTTGATTATCATTAAATCTATTTGATCTTATATTATCATAGTGAAATAAAAAATAATAAATAAAAAAATTAGCTGTTCGTATCATTATGGTATGTAATAATTTACGATGTTGTTACTCATATCTTAGTTATAGTTTTATCAGCATGCATGAAATGAAATGGGATTTAACACCATACTTTCTTGCCCCGACTGGGCTAATAAAAACGGGATTTATCAGCATGAAACAGACATGCAATTCTAGACTTAAATCAGTATCAGGCATCCAGACAGTCTCGGTCACCAATAAATCCCATAATTCTTGCATTAATATAAACAAACATGAATCGTGACCTCGAATTAGGATTAATTAAATAAACATAGATATGACCGATGAAGAGAGAAATTTTACAATAAAAAAAATAGAGAGTTGGGTATTGAACTGACAATGCAATCAAATGGATTTTCTGAAATGGCATTCATAAATTAATTTCATGCGCGTCAAATTCTTGGTTTAGGACTAGTACCTACCTTAGACATTGTTTATGATAATGTAAAAGACCAGATAATCTAGCCAATGATCTATTATTATTCTCAAAAGCTGACACCGCATCCAGACTAATATTCGTAGAATATTTTCGTCTGGATGATAGAGACTAGTATCTTGTGTGATAATCACAGTAATTAGGGCCACTGTTCTACATTATAATAATCAATTAATATTAAGTGGAATAGTCTAAATTTATCTATTTTATTTTTTCTGGGAACTGTCTTACAACATAAGTCGTTTTCTAGAATTGTTTAAAATAGTATGACGTTGTTTTGGGGTTTTTTTTGGGTTTTTTTCTTCATATTTTAAAGGGGCATTATCGCTCCTAAAATAATTCAGATTCACCTGATTATCAAAAGTCCAAGTACCGTCCCGAGACTCTTACAAAGGGCTTAATGCCGAATGGTTAACGCGTGTGCATTAGATTATAAAATCTATCATTAAGTGGCGTCTGTCCAGCCTCGTGGGTTTTCTCCGGGTCGTCCGGTTGCGTAAAGTGGATATTACCCCCCCCCCCTCTCTCTCTCTCCCCCTCTCTGCTGTAAGGTCAAATCAAAACCGGCGAAGATTCCCAAATCTTCATTTACCATTAGAAGTGCATGTCATCTCATTAATGACTCTTTAGTGCACTCCTAGACGCATTGATGGTCTTTAAACCTTGAGCCGGGCATATTTCCCCTTAAATGACCTTTAGACCATTAATCGTCCTTTAAGCGTGAATGTTGTCCCTTTAAAAACCTTGAGACGGTCATATTATCCCTTTAATGATAAAAGGAATTTGTTCTTCTCTGTTCAAGTTTAAACCGGACGTTTAAACACCCCAGTGTATTCGTGCTGCTGTGAAGTATGTAATCTAATTTACATCAAGATAATTGAAATCTCCATAGCTTATGATATGGTGCACGCTTCTTCAAACTGTTTACCTGAATACCTGTATCTCATCAGGTTTGTATAACAAAATTACAAAAAAACCTGGTATAGTTCCCACAGAAACACTTAAACATCTCGTGAGCACAATATATTACACTCAATTGAAATGCCAGAGTTAGACGCCTTAATGCCTTGGACTTTGCCATGTTTAAAAGATTAGTCAGTATTACATCAGGAATTCGATAAATTGTTATAGTCTCATTATAAGTGGCAACATAGATCGAAATGAAATGGGTATACGCCACAAAGTGTGCTATGAGGGAAAATTTGCCTGGACAGCGGCACCACGGCCTTCTCTTATATCCAATTCCAAATGTCCAGAGTCTTTTACGTGCACGCCAATAATATGTATCCGAGACTTCGGTTTCTTATGCTATCCGAATGACTACACATTGTCCCTTGCCAGCTCCTCTGTCCTGCACCACTGGTACGCCGGTAAATCACGATGAACTTTCTCGGCCAACACGGATCGAACATGGGACATCCAGGTGACCGAATCCACGCCTTTCACACCGAGCCACCGCGGCTCCTCAAAATAGTTACTCCCGAAAAACACGTAACTAATACTTAAACAAATTTTTTCGTTAGCATACTAAGTCTAGCATTTCTTATAAGTTCGTACAGCTGATAATGATATACTAAAATAATACACTCTTTTGGAAATACTTCCCTTTTTTAACTTTTGTGAATTATTGTAGTATGAGTCAATATATGCCAGCCGGGATGTACAAAACCATGTCTACTTACTTGATTTGATTGTATTTGGTATGGTTTACAGTATCCGAGTTTCGTTACGATCGCGTGCTTGTCTTCTGTGCTTCTATGTAATTGTGTGGTGCGGCTCCCCCTGCTCTTACTTTTTGACGCTTTGTATTGATTGGTAATTTCTATGCAAACCATTAGGCCGAGATTCTCTCCTATCAAGTAGCCCCACTAGTTTCAAGTAGTGATAGGATACAATGCCTACAATTGCTTCCGGGTTTTTTTTTTCGCTAGCTTTTCATTTTTGTTTTATAACCATATATGTTTTCACCCAAAATTGAAAATATCCTTCAGTAATGTGTATGACAATTTTGATTATAAGACAAACACATAATACATGTATAATATTTACAAAGTTTTCCCCTTATTTTCTCTTGCCCATTTTTGAAACCTTTTGCAAGGATTTGAAATTTTCATTCACCCCGAAAGGACTTAGATCTACGATTTCCAAGAAAACTATTACTTAACGTACAGCGAATTCATTCCAACGTACACGCCAATGTTTGAACGGCACCTCGGTGTTTCGTCCTATCCGAACGACTAGACAACTGTTCTTCTCAGGCCCTCCTTCCTGCACCACCTAAAAGAGGAAGCCACGACCGAAAACCCCGATGTACTTTCTCGGTTAACACCGGGATCGAACCCGCG